GCTGGATTTCGTTAGTCAGAAGATCCATGTTGCTCTTCAGAGGCGCACGTGTTTCCAGCCATGTTTGGCGCGTTGCCGTGAGCTCTTGCCGTTCGGCTTCAATGTCGCGCAGTTCTTGCTGATAGGCGTCTTGCCGCTGCTTGGCGAGCCCGATGAGGTTGGGGAGTTCAAGCAAACCATCCTGCCGGAATGGCGTAGTGGCAGACACGTTGAGGCGGCGTGTCAATTGGCGGCGCACGTGCTTGAGCAAACGCGCTGGCTCCTCTCGCAAGTCTTGCAGCCTGGTTTTTTGCTCATCCAGCGTTTTGGCGGTGCTGTCCAGCGCCCCCAATGTCGCGGCATCGTGCATCAGGCCCAGCACGATCTGCATCAGTGCGGCCGGTGACTTTGCTGGCAGGCTGAATCTGACGCCATCCGAGCGCCACTGGTAGTAGTTTTGATAACGGGCGTTCTGGTCACGCGAACACCAGGCCAGAATCTGGTGCCATTCGATGGGATGCTCGGACCGGGCAGCTTTTGCACGGGAAGTATCTCCACCAGATGCTGCCGCAGCGCAGCTTGATAGGCGCTGAACTCATTTTCAACCTCGCTGGCAGCCAGTTGCCGCCAGTCGGCCGTGCGGGATGCCCGGTATTGCTTTTGATGCAGCCAGGGTTTCAGAACTGTCCATACCTCGCCGCCGACGTGCACGCGGGCAGCCACCGCACCTTCTTTCAATTCGCGGCTGTGCAGCAGTTCATCGCGCAGGGTCGAACCATCGGACCAGAGGGGGTCGTCCAGTACGAAGCGCAGCAACTGGCAGAAGGCCGTTTTCCCGACCCCGTGGCCGGCGCTGCCCTTGCCAGGCGGCGACACGATCAGGTTGAGTCCACGCCGCAATGGAATCTCGCGTAACGGTTGCTGAGTTGTTAGCGAATCCAGCAGCCATAGTGTTTCCACCCACAGGCGGGGTCTGGCATGGTTGATGGTGGAAATGGCTGCGTCATCCATAGGCTTTCATCCCTGCTTGCGTATTTCGTCGGGTCGAACTTCCGATCTGGAACCTGCCAGAACTTCTACCAGTGCTGCTTCTTGTTGGCGACGAGCCGCAATCAAAGCTCGAGCCAGCGATTCGGTGCGATGGTCACCCAGGACTTCTGCTTGCGCTTGGGTGTCACGAATGGACAGGGGGGCCGTTGCTGGGACGCCCAAAAGAGCGCGAAGCCAACTACAAATGTGTCCCCAGCGTTCTGTATTTACAGGCGCCAGCCAATCAGGCAGGACCTCTGCATCCGGAGTTTTTTCTGGGAGCCGGGCACCGAGAATTCGCCGAAGCTGATTGTCATCACATGGCCGGTCTTGTTGAAGCACATCGACTATCAGCCCCGCCAGCCAATCTTCTGCGGCGGAGGCCGGAGTACCGCCTTCTGCATATATCGGCAATGGTGCCCTGCGGCGGACTGGCTTGGGTGCCGGCGTCGTGATCGGCTGTCGAAACTCCAACGCATCCCATGCAGCTAGCACCAACTGCTGAGTCCGGTAGTGCTCCGTTCCGGGAATGCGTTCCTTGTTCTTGAGTACGCGGAAGGTTTCGCTGGGGTAGTCCTCGCCCATGACATCGGCGGGGTCGAGGATGTAGCGCAACTCTTCGCGCGTCAGGCCATACAGGTGAGCGTAGTAGGCATCAAGTTCCGCGCGAATATCAGCGCGGCGCTGCGAATTGAAGACGAAGGGTGTGCCGCCAAATCCTAGGTCTTTCGCCCAAGGTTGCAGGTCGTGGGCTGTGAATGTGAGCTCCAGCACTCGCGGGACGATGAAGGCAAGGTCTTCGTCCGTGTATTGATTTGGCGCCAGCACAGGAAGCTGCTTGAGATACGAATAGGTGAGATGCGTGCCACCTACTTTGACCCGAGCGCAGTAGTCCAAAACCAACGAGCAAAGGTTGCCCAGCAGTGCCGCCGCAAGCCGCGGCGACTTCAATGTCAGGATCAATGGCATGGTGTGCCCGATGCCCACCTTTGGCGCTACGCACGCAATTA